AGTATCAATTGAGCAACTAGTTTGACACAAACACACAGTGTGTTAGCGTTCGTGCTACATTACTGTGGTGCTCACATGGGTGGGTGGGACGTGTCAAGCCCCTTTTGTCTGGGTGGGGTAGAGGATGTAGATATAACGTTACGATTTTTGGATGTTCTAGATTAACTTAAAGCGACGTTTGTGCGAAACAAAGTGCGATTGTACAAATCGGTGGCGGGCGTTGGGGTTTCTCTCCTCCAGCGTGTAGATGGTCTTTCTAAAGTTTGAAATGTTGGAATATCTGGCCCAGTTTGTATATTTAGATTGCACAGTTTCTTTTTATAAAAGCACTCTTGCAGCACTTGTGAGTCACTTCTTATGCTGTTTGTACGTCGCATGGCTCTGCCGTCCTGCAGCATTTCCCTTCCCCAGGTCTCTGCCTGTCCTTAAGCCCTGACGTTTGTTATCCAGAATGGGAATTATGTAACGCATTTGACTCACTGCTGATGACGGGAAGTGCACCATGGAAACTAGCTGGGTGGCTCGCTTGTGTCTGTACTGTGCACTGGCTTTCTGATGTCAAATATCTGAGAATTGCAGGAGAAAATAATTGATACCCTTAGCGCTGTCTATGAAAATGGTGCCAAGATGTCAATTGTCATTCTGTTCAGTATTGCAGCCTGGACAAAATTGCGTATTTGCTTGTAATTGCACCACTGGAAAGATTAAATTGAAGTGTGGGGGGAGGAAGAGGAGAATTTTTGATAGCACTTATGTAATCCTTTGATATGAAAATGTACTGTGATTTCTGCAAATTCACAGCTGACCTTTCTAATTGCTGTAGGAATGCCACGTTGCATCTGAAGTAGTGAAGTGCTTCTGATGAGACTAATTGCATCAAGCTGCAAAAATTATTTTGAAGTGGGTGTTGGTGAAAGAATGACCCATACATCCTGTCTTCATCTAGGTGACCTAATCCACTGCATATCATTTAACCCCGTTAATATTGGCTGCTTTATGCATCGGTGTCGCTTGTTGAACACCAGAAACATGAAAGATCTGATGAGCGTTATAACATTATTTACAAGTTAAAGTCCACAAAGCAGTTGGCAGACTCCCCTGTCATGTCTCTTAACTTCCTGTCAGTACTTATGAGAAGTAACATGACTGACACCTTGGCTGTACACACAGCAATCATGGGATTGCTTGGCAAGAACGTGGTGGAGGTTTTGGAGTCCGTAACTCCAGCAGATGCGAGGTCCCTGTGGCCGTTTGTCCGGAAGATGGGAGCATTACAGCCGGCAGGGACAAGCCCGGCCAATTAGTTGTATTTAAAATCAGGATAAATGAGGTTCATTAAGCAGGTGGAGGTGAAATGTTTGTGGGAACTGCAGGACAGCTTGCCTCTTTAGTTTTGTGGCAGAGATGTGTCATTCCAGTGACTTAATGGTGCAGGGGCTGACTGGTCAGATTTAAAGGATGGGGTGATGTGGGCTGTCCTCAAATGACCATGGGGTGCGTGGTTAAGTTATCACGTACGTCAAAAACGTAAAAATACATGCTGCAAAGGAGCTCTGTAGAAGTTTTTTTTTTTTTGCCTTAACTTAAATTTGGGCTGCGTTACGGTATCGCCTCCTTAAGGTATCACTGGTCCGGTCCAGTGTAACATTTCCCCCATCCAAGTAAAGAACTAAAACAATTATTGGAATATTCATTTTTGATTTTACTCATGAATGTATTTTGTGAGCTTTGTATCCTTCACTGCAAGCTCCTCCTGTCTGCCTGATCCACCTCTTTGCTTTTTTCAAGTATACTGTAAATTTTGTGTCTGCACTATCTGTCCTATGCAGACCAAACGATGTCGTAGGTCATTACCTATGATGTAGTAGCGAACTCTCACTAATTGTATTAACCAGAAAAGAAGTGCTGGTTACGTACTGATCCCATGTTCGTTCATTATTAATCAGTCATAACGGTTCATATATTTCTTGTAAGGTAAAATATTTGTTCATGATTTGTACTTGAGTAGTAACTGAGTTGTCACTTCGGCCCCCTCAAAAGTTTTATTGAAATGTTTTCTTCGCCTGGACCTACACCAGTCACAAGCTTGTGATAAAGGAAACGTGACACTCATTGAAATACTTTCCCTACGCCGACTATAAAATGTCATGTAAATTTGGATTACTGAAGGAATGGATTCCTTCACATGCATGTAAGTGAGTTCAAGCAAATTATCTTCATCTGCTTTTTCTGTGCATATAAGCACAAGAGATTTGATGTCAACAGCTACCATCACCAGTGCAGTGCAATATATTCACAATCCAACAGTAATGCAGAGGACCAAGCATGTTCGCATAAGCTTGAACTGCTCTCATCTTCTGCAGTTTGAGGACTAGATATCCGAACACACCATTACAGATGACGAAAGCAGTCAAGTAATAATGGATATAGGGAGTATGTGTTTTTATATATATTTTTTATTATTATTATTTTTTAAATACTTCCATAATTTTGTATTCGCATCGGACTCTAAAGTTTAAACAAGTGTCTTGGCTAGCCAGCTGGTGTAGCTATGCTTAAGGCAGGTTGCTCATGTTGCATGGCTTTGTTACATAATGAGGCTCGGCTGCTAGCTGATTGACCCACTATGACCGTTGTGTTTTGTGCCTACCGTCATTTATGAGCGAAGTTGCACTAACGCATATTGGCTAGCTGAGTAACATACCTTTTGACATGCTGCATCGTTACTGTGAAAAGCAGAATCGCTGTCACTGGCCCGAACTGGTCAATCAACTTGCCCGACATACAACGAGCCATTGCTCATGTCGAACCCTGATATTATCGTATCTAAGAGGGAGCTTTTGTGCAGAAACCTCTAAGACATCTCTCTTAATTGCAATACATGAATGCATAGTTTTGAGGCCAGTCCACTGCTGCCACTGCAGACGTTTTATCTTTAGCGTGCAAAGTCACAAAAGTATTTGATTGATCTTTTTCAGACTTTGCAGATACGCTGTATGGGTGAAGACTTGGAACTAATCAAATTTATGTCATCGTCATTCCAACAGCGTCTAGTTTTAAACTAACACTTTGCATATGCATTTAACCCATTTTGTGTCAGTTTCTTAAAGGGGCTCAGATTCTAGCTTGGTTTAAGCAGTTGACCTTTAATTCGGAAGACTCGGGTTTTGACGGACTAGTAAACCCTACAGCCAGTGAGAACTGGAGTTTGCCTCGAATCTGTTGGATGTAGGTACCAAATTGGAATACTGTGTGACTAGAGATTTCGTTAAGCTTCATTTTAAATGGACGGGAGTCTGCTTAACCCCAAAGCAGGTGGCGTATCTCTGATTACTCCAGTAAACTTTAAACAAGTTTCTTTTTCTTCTTAGCTGACCTTTGAAAATGATTTACTTTTCTGGGTTTTATAATAAGCTGGAACGAACATAAAGCCATTCAGTGACATCAAGAGCAAGTAAATAGGGTAATGCAGTTTTATTTTGGGAATTATGCAGTTTTAGTGAAGATCTGTGTACCATGGTCTTTTTGTTCTTGTAAAAATAACCTTTTAGTTGTTTGGTAGGTTTTTGTCTTTAATGTTAAATTAATGATAGGCATATTTTTTAAGAATGGATAGAATGCTGTTCCCCTCAGTACTCCGTATATTTTCAGCATTTATCGATTAAGTGACAGACGTTGAAAAATTGTTTGAAGTGCATTATGCTGGACAAATTTGTAATTAGCAGAACACTGCAATGCCATAGAAACGGATCAATTTCTAGATGGTCAGAGATCTGACGTTACAGTACGTACTGCCGCCGTGTTGGCCAGTTTGAATACTGGAGACTTTTTCCCCAGTTAATTTATCTACAGTAAATGGTTCCTATTTCACAAACCAGTATCGGTCCTTGCATTAAAATGTTTCTGTAATGTTTCATTAGGATGTATTTTTCACAAGCTAATGTGCTTCTCTCTTCCTAGTGAGCTAGTACCAGCCTACGATTCCAGCACCTTTGTTTTGGCGAACTTCAGGTATTGATTGTGTGTGCGCGCGTGTGTGTGTGTGCGTGTGTGTGCACACACAGTATTATTGAACCAAGGCATTTAGATTTGATGTTGAGCTTTGTATTGTAACTTCTACTGCAAAAGATCTTAATTCTCATTTTTTTTTTATTCTCTTCCTTAATGGGGAGATCAAGTCAATGAAGAGCATACCTGCTATTTTTGCAATTCAGTCTGTTACTAGTCTCTCTGGTTCACTTGTCTTGCCGTGCTCCCCTTGTTTAACTCACAGCACCCTGAGACAAAGAGCTGACCCCATATACAGCCCCCCCCTTCAGATTTCGGGACTCTGCTGGAGATTAAAGGTTTATCCAGTGAGTGGTCGCTTAACACGTCTCTAACGACATGATTGTGTTGGCGAATGATTAGCGGTTCTTCATTATTGAAGAATCTGTTTTGGTGCCAAAATTTTTAAGGACAGATTACAGGTTGCCTGGATTACACTCCTTAAATGTGTGTTCTGCCACCAACAGGATGGAAATGGCGTCGTCCGTGGAAATTACCTCTCGGTGTTCCTCGAGCTCTCAGCTGGGCTTCCAGAAACTTCAAAGTATGTTCCTCTGTTGTCGTTTTGAAGAATGACTGTAGAACAACTTGGGTGATGTGAATGTAAGACTGCATTAAGCAGGACTTTCTAAGGCTAATGTGGGTCCGTCTGAGGTCTTAAAGCTGGCTTTGTGAGTTTCACCTCTGGAAGTTCTGCTTCTTTAAAAGAACCTCAGCTTTTGAGTTGAGATCTAACGCCGTTGCCTGTGTCCCCGGAGGTATGAGTACCGAGTGGAGATGGTGCACCAGGCCTCAAGTGACCCTACAAAGAACATCATCCGGGAGTTCGCGTCCGACTTTGAGGTCGGAGAGTGCTGGGGATACAACCGCTTCTTCCGGCTTGATCTGCTGGCCAGCGAGGGCTACCTGAACATGCAGACCGACACCCTCGTCCTCCGGTACGTCATGCTGAGCTGGGGAGACTTTGGTCAAATGTGGGGAAGCTTTCAGGCCGGGAGGTTTCCGAACGGCTGATTTGAACTCTACACAGTGGCTTTTGACCTTGATTGTATGACTCGTACAATCAGTGTCACAATCATGTCCTTCAGGGCGCCTGGTGTGTTAGCATCAAAGGGCAATTTTTCACCAGGGACTTAAAGAAGCACAATGGTCCTTTTCTGCTGTGCAGGTGGAGATTTGCTGCACCCACTGTAAGAGACGAAAGGTGCTAGATTAAAATTTATGGTACCACTTTACAATAAGATTACCCTTTTAAAGGGTTTTTGAGTGGTTTATAATCATGCTATTACTTGGGTTGCAACACCTTTGCAAATAATATACAATTATACACAAGTTATAATGGTTTTTATTAATGAGTTGCTACCATTTTTAAGTGGCAAAAAGGAGCCAATTAAAATTTTATTGATTAAAATTATTTTTCCCTCTAAATCAGTGTTTCCCAGTCTGGTCCTCGGGGACCCACAGACAGTCCTGGTTTTTAGCTGGGAAGGAGCAAAAACGTGGATCATCTGAGTCCCCTGGGACCGGATTCGGAAACGCTGCTGTTAAGGAATGCTCGTGTGTTTTAGTTCACATTCACAGAAGCATTTTGAGCAGGTTTTTGGTAAATTTTATAATAGACTGTAACATAAGCTTTGAGGTGTTTGTTTATTTGTGACCTCGCTGGACAGGTACCAGGTACGATCGCCGACGTTCTTCCAGAAGTGCAGAGACCAATGCTGGTACATCAGCCAGCTTGAATCTGCACAAACCAGCTACATCCAGCAGATTAACAACCTGAAAGAGGTGCGCGCCGCGGGAAGCCCTGAAGTGCAAAGCTTTCTCTGCTCTGTTATTTATTTATTTTTTTGCGTGATTGTAATGGCTACCTTGTCGGTGTTGCCGTGGTGACAGCGGCTGGCGATCGAGCTGTTCCGCAGGCAGAAATCTCGCAGCTCGTCCCCCCCCGGCGGGCGCTCGTGCCCCTCCGCCTCGGAGCGGGACCCCCGGCCTGGGAAGGGGTCCGTGGCAGAAGGTGGCACCCAAGCTGCAGCTGCGGAGGCCAAGGACGAGGAAGAGGAGGAGAAGACGCAGCAGGACGACTCCAACGTGAGTCATCAAGCGTCCCGCTAAATTTGTCCTCCTGCAGGCAGCATCAAATTAACGTGTTTGTTTTTTTCCACTAATTATACTTTAGATAGCAGATTTGGTGGAACAAATGCCTTCAGTTTAAAGTTTAAGGGCTATTAGTTCCTGGCTTTAGAGGAGGCTGCCAGTTTCGTGATCCCAGCATGCCTTGCACCAGGAATAGTTCTATGGCTGGCTGTACTTCCTGCAGCAGTTGTTGAGTTTTATGACTTTTAAAATGCCAACTAGCAGTGAAGTTCTGCTGAGCGTGCCCGGGTAGACCTACCATCCCCCCCCCCCCCCCCCCCTTCTGGTTAACCTTGTGCTCTACGCCCTGCACCGTCCCTCCCCCAGGAGTTATCGGATGGGGACCTGGAAGTGGACTGTCTGACGGGGGATGAGGAGGTCAACCCCCTGGACGGAAGCAGCACTTCGGGGAGCTCGACAGCCACCAGCAACACGGAGGAGAACGACATCGACGAGGAGACAATGTGAGCGAGCCGAGCGAGTAGGGAGCCCCCCCCCCCCCCGGAGTGGGGAGCTGCTGTGCATGCAGGCGAATGGAGACGCAGCCGGCACCATAGGAGCTGTTTAGATATTTGGGGGGGAGGGGGGCGCAGCTTAATATAAAAGCTAAGGTCTATTTATAGGGGGGGCGAATTGAGCCAAATTAAACCATTGGGGGTAGACGTCCTCCCCCGATTTCTATGTCCCTGAATTCGGCAGAAAATGGCTGAACCCTGTTAGCTTGTGACTCTCTGTAAAACAATAGATCAGAGTTGAGTCACTGCTGCTCGTGTGGCTCCAGAACACCCCCTCATCCTACTGTTAGACCTGATGAGGCATCAGTGAGTCACGTCAGCTTCTGCATCGCTGCAAACACATGGTCGTGCCCCCCCTTAAAGCCCCCGCAGCAGCACCCCCCCACTCCCAGTCCCTCTGTACATCCCCATCATCCTCTCACCTTTCCGGAATGTCCTTGTCTCTCGTTAGAGCGGGATCTAGTGAAGGCCGGCTGTCTCTCTCTGCAGGCTTTCTCCTGGCCTCCCGTTCTGGATTCTTCCAGATGTTCTCCTAGTTCTATAAATAGCTCCACCCAATTTCTCTGCAGTAGCATCTCTGTCACCCTGACAGCCCCTCCCCCCCCCCCCCCCCGGGTGCCCTTTGCTGATCTATTATTCAGTGTCTGCTGCACATGTTGCCCCTGGGCTGATACACATAAACACCCATTTTAGGGTCTAAGAACACAACGGGCAAGAATAAAGGGCATTGTGGGTATTTTGGTTATTTCTGGAAATGTGGAATTTGAGAGGACAGCGCAGGACCACCTATGAGCTGAGCTGTAGATCTGAATACAGCCATAATTTAGGTCCTGCAGTCTCTGGTTCATTTTTAATTCTCGGTGTTATATACAACTTGGCTTCCATTTTCTGACTTTTATGGGTTGGACATTGTGTATTACATCAGTAAGGTGGCTTTATAATGATTTGTATGAATTTGTATGAATTCCCCCCACACATAAGAGCATAGTTCTGAATAATTTTTGGGGTTGGGGATTTTTGAAAGTAGATTGAATTTTGAACTTTTAACTTTTGAATGGATGTCTTTATAGATATTTGATCATACTCCTGCATTTTGCCGTTCCTTTTTATCTTGGCCATGTCTTGGTTGTACTTTTAATGGCAGTTGCATGAAACAGTTCTGTGGACACCTGTGAAACTCAGAAGAATCAAAATTCGCTGTGATGGAGCTGTTTTAAGTAGGTATTCATAAAAATGCGGAGGAATAAAATCGGTCATGGGCTCCATCTGCTTTTCCCCTGCAGAGTTGGGAGAGATGTTGTCACAGTCTTGAAGTGCAGAGCGTGTGCAGTTGGTTGGCTATTTAAAGCTTTGCTGCTAAGTCCCGTCCAAGAGCTGCTGGTATCTTGTCACGATGTTCATCACTTTCCAGCAGTAATGGGTTGGGGGTTACAGTCCTGGCACCTGCGACCGAATGGCCTGAAGCCAAGAAGCGTTTCCTCCTAATAAGACGCTTTAGAGGTTTCATCTGTCTGGTCGGTCTGTCGGCCTGTTGAAACAAAGCAGACGTTGCACCCCTTTTGTAAAATGCTCTTTATGTGGAGGGAACACTTTTTGTTGACATGATGCATCAATCTCTTTGGACTGACACTCGGCAAGTCATTTTTCAGCATCAGGAATGAGGGAAACTCAAACAGGGAAAATATTTAAACAGGCGTTCTCTCTAACTCTTAGTAATGAGTTTCTGTACTGGAAAGGTGTGTGGGTTGTAATACTTAATACCAGCTAGGTCTACATTTTTGAGTCCTGGGTTATTTGGATGGGGAAGGCTTTGAGAAATACAGATGAATTACTTATGGTAGCAAATTCACTTAGATGGGGTGGGGGGCTCAGTGTTCCCTAGAAGGCCCTCACGTTTTTTTTTTTTTTTTTGCATTTGAACTTGTGTTAAATAAGGTCTCTAGCAGAGGAAAGAAACTCTGCCTGTTTGTTGGTCTGTAGATAAGTTGTGTGGGTTGAGCCATTGGGCTTGTAGCTCCTGGCCAATTAGACTGTCACGCCACTCAAATCTCTGAAGTTCAGTCATTTAATGACCAAAGATTGCCTTGCCGTCCATCTCTCACTGATGTGCAGTAATTGTCTGGTACTTATATGAGCTGAACTCTCCCCCCCCCCCGCTGCACCCCAGGTCTGGCGAGAATGACGTGGAGTACAGTGGGAACCTGGAGCTGGAGGAAGGGGAGCTGCCGGAGGATGTGGGCGGAGCAGCGGGTAATGCTGATCGGAAGGGACTGCATGGTCCCGGGACTGGAGCAGCGGGTAATGCTGATCGGAAGGGGCTCCGGTCCCGGCCTGCATGGTCCCGGGACTCTCCTTGCTTTCCATCAGAGCAGCTAGGGCTCCGCGGTATCACACCGCGATACGGCGATACAGGGCATCATGACGCATCGCACGATAAATTACCGGGTTTCTGGTGCTGGGTGTAAATATCTGGCTTTTCGGTACTATATGGATGTTTATCTATGCCCCAATATGGTAAGCTGAAAATATTAATGAGGCATATTGTGATGCCCAAAAGTTAGTAATCTGTATTAGTTCGGCATGTCATTCTGTTTAATAAACGTTTTAGACTTTAAACATCTGCTGACCAATTTGTGGGCATAAGTAAAAGTACCAAAGAGCCGGCATCCGGACAGATGCCGTGATTTGCCCTGGTCATTATGGTGCATTCGCCATATAATCGGCATGTGATGTTGTGCCACCATGAAAGCAACATTGATTCCATGTTCACTTTGTAAAGCTCTAAGCTGTAAATACACTGGCATTTTGTTGAGTGTGTTTTTCAGAGTGGTTTTGCACTGACACCAGTGTGTGCGGTCCTGGTGCTCTTTGCAGGGGGTTCGAACCCCGGCTCGCGCAGTGTACGGCGTGGGGCGTCCAGCCTGGCTTCGACCACCAGCAGCAGCCTCCTGGAGATCGACCCCGTCATCCTCATCCAGCTGCTGGACCTGAAGGATCGCAGTAGCGTCGAGTCCCTGTGGGGGCTCCAGCCTCGCCCCCCCGGGTCTCTGCTGCAAAGCGCAGGCATGACACCCACTGCCTTCTGCGGCCCACCTTTACCCTGCTGTTCTGCACATCTCAGCATTTCACATTTTGTTTTCTCTTCCCGGCCCAGTCCAAACCAACTCCAGGAAGGATCGAGACCGGCGTCCGCAGGCAGTGCGGCGGTCAGCCCCCGATTCCGGGGTCCTGATCCGACTCAAGGCCCAGATGGCAGAGGTGCGCAGCAAAATGTCGGATGTGAAGTGCCACCTAGAAGCACAGGGCGCTGGGGAGTCCAGAGCCAACCCGTCCGGCGCGCCCTGCTCTATGGCGCCCCCAGTGGATGCTGAGGGCGGGCGAGGGAAACCCAACGGCCAGGAGCTCCTGAGCAAGGGGACGGCCGCTGCCAGACACTGCCGGGCTGGTGAGTGTGGCTGCTGGCCCTCTGCCCAAACGTTTTGGGTTTTAACCGGAGGTGGAAAGTTCAGGTCCAGAAAGTACAAATCCACACCAAGGTTTTGTTTTAACCAACCAGTTGAATACACTGACTCTGTGCTCAGGTCTTTGGTTGCAACAAAATCGTGGTCTGGATTTGTACTTTCTGGACCTGACCTATCCACCTCTGGTTTTAACTGCCACCTGTATTACTTGTTCATTTACTTGTGCTGAAGCATGACTTCAATCGTTTTGAGTCTTAAAACTGAGTAAATGTGAAGAACGCGAAACGAAATTCTCTAACATCATAAATCAGTGTCACCTTTGAATTTTGCTTCTCTTTGGTATTTAGTGCTGCCCTGTAATTGGATGGGGGAAACTGCACAGCTGCCAGGAGTTGGTTAAGGAAATATCGCTATATTAAGATCTTGGGTCTTTGGTGACACCAAAACAAAGCTCAGTGGGATGATGGTCTGCTTAGTGTGACTGGGATAACCGTCTGTTTGTTTGGCTCCCGTCGGGCGCTGCAGGCTGGTATCGGTAGCACCTTACGATGAGCCCTGTATGTTTGCCACAGGTGCCAAGAAGGTGCCCCCACCCAAGCAGGAAGTCGGGGGGGCTGCTGGCGGCCTGTCCCTGCGCAGGGCAGCGGAGGGGGCTGATAAGGAGCCCCGGGGCCAAGCCGGAGACCCCGCTACTGAAGGCGGGAGGGGGGAGCTGTCCTGTGCGGTAGAAGGTCTGTGTTTGGGGAAACACCCCTGTGAAAGCAGCCTCTAGCTCAGGACTTGCATGTCAGATTAATGATGAATCAGAATCGCAGCACTTTTATTACCCTGAAGGTAATTCTTTGTAATTACAGGCTGCACAGTACACACACAGAAGACATTATACAGTACCAGCTACAATAATCTCAATACAAAAATAAATTGTAAATGTATGAAGCCTGTAATGGATGATAAATGTGCAGCCCCTAATTCTACCCTCACTTTGGAGCTTCTTAGTGACGTCTTACAATTAAGTTTTAATTTTTAGTTGGCTCTTTGCGAGGCTCCACCTTATTCTGCCCCACACCTGTGGGATGATTTGCTGTCATGCCCCAAGAGGACACTAGAGGGCTCCTGTCTGCTGCAGGGGCCCCAAAGGCGCGCGGCGGGATCCATGCCTCTGCTCCCCCCGTGGCCGGCTCCGGCTGCACATCCCGCGACAAGCCATCAAGCTCCAAGCACGAGGAGCAGCACTACGGGACTGCCAGCGCTGACCTCTTCAGCATGGCCGGCCTCAATGGGGTCCTGCCGGCCGCCAAGAACCGCCGGCCCCCCGCCTTGGGGTACGAGTGAGCACTGAACCCAGAGGCCCTTCAGGCACCAGAGGTGGGCAGTTCAGGTCCAGAAAGTAAAAACTCCAGACCAAGATTTTGTTTCAGCCAACCTTTTGAGCTCTGTGTGACTGACCCTTTATACTCAACTGGTTGGTTGAAGCAAAATCTTGATCTGGACTTTTACTTTCTGGACCTGAATTCTCCACCTCTGGTGTCAAGTGTATACCTCCAATGTGCAGCTATGATTTTTGTCTTGCCTTTCACTCCACAGAGGGTCATTATCATACTGAGTCAGTGTCTAGTCCTTACAGCACTTGCCTTGATTCTGCGGATGTGGATTTTTGGTCTTGAGGATGCTGTGAACTGAGTGTCGTCCCCCCCCCCCCCCCTTTACATTTCCTGTCTGCAGGGCTGGCCTGACTGACAGCTCCTTGGACGGGGACCTGGAGGGCCCCAGCGAGATCCGGGAGTCCCTACTGGCGCTGTCGGAGGGAGCCTCGACTCACCCCGAAGGAGGTGACTCCGTCCTGCATGAGGCTTTCGCTTTGGTTCTCTCCTTTTTATTCTGCTGATATTTGTGACATGAATGTGAGCCTAATAATGCATCACAAGCATATCAGTGTCACGGAGCCAGCTTGGGTTCTTCTGCCAGGTTAGTTGTCCAGTGAGTGACCAGTAATAAGCACTTGGGAACAGGAGCTATACAAAACATTACAACGTAGTATCCTAGAAGCAGGTCAAATAATG